GTATGTGCGGAATGGATGAGTTATTTCTTTTTTCAAACTTTATTTTTCAATTACAGTTGACTTTCGATATTATATCAGTTTCCGGTATACAGTATAGTGGTTAGACATTTGTGTAACTTGCAAAGTGATCCCCCTAATAAGTCTTGCACCCACCTGACACCGTACATAGTTACTACAATGTTATTGACTACATTCCCTAAGCTGTACTTCACATTCCTATGACTGTTTTGTGACTGCCAATTTCTATTTCTTAATCCCTTCACCTGTTCACACAGTCCTCCAACTCCCTGGCAACACACCTGGCAACAACCAGTTTGTTCTCTGTATCTATGAGTCCGTTTCTGTTTTGTTTGTTCATTTATTTTGTTGTTTAGATTTCACACATAATTGAATTCCTGTGGTATTTGTCTTTCTCTGTCTGACTTTCACTTAGCATGATACCCTCTAGGTCCATCCATGTCGTTGCAAATGGTAAGATTTCATTCTTTTTTTATGGCCAAGTAATATTCTATTGTCTGTATATACACCACATCTTCTTTATCCATTTGTCTTTCCATTGGGTCATTTAATCCATTTACATTTAAAGTAATTATTGATAGATATGTAGTTATCACCATTTTATTCATCGTTTCTCATTGTTTTCGTGCCCCTCTATTCCTTATTCTCTTGTATGTTGATGGCTTTCTATAGTGTTGTATTTGGATGCTTTTCATTTCTTGTATATCGCTTGTAGATTTTTAGTTTGCTGTTACCATGTGGTTCATACGTACCAAGCTATGTTTATAGCAGTCTGTTTTAAGTTGATGGTTGCTGAAGCTCAAACGCATTCTGAAATCACTACCATTTTTACATACACCCTCCATGTTTTCTGTCACTTTTTTTTTTTTTTTACTTCTTTCGTGTGTTTGTGTGTATCCCTTAGTTTACTGTTAAAGTTACGGATGATCTTCCTACTTTTGCCTGTTAACCTTTGTTCTAGCTCTGGTGTTGGTTGATCCACTGCTTTTATGTGTTTGCCTTTTGTCAGTGAGAATTTTTTTCCTTTGTGATGTTTTCTTATTCATATTTTTTATTTTTTCCCCTTCTTCTTAAAGATGTCCCTTTAACATTTTTTTGGTAAAACTGGTATGGTGGTGATGAACTCCTTCAGCTTTTTCTTGTCTGGGAGAGAACGAGCTTTTCAATCAAGTAAATATTCTGGTTAGTTGAATATTCACATGTACCTATTATATATGTGGTTAGTTGTTTTCCAAAGAATTCATATCCAACTAAATATGTAAAGTACATGGAAAATAACTTAACTTTTCTTTGATAAATCGAGATCTTTTACTGCCTTAAAGCCACCATCATGAGTAATTTTTAAACACCCCAAATACCACATTTAAAAATAAATCAGGTATCAACTTTTTTGGGGGGCAAGGGGGGCAGCTTTCGTAACTTTCTCTTATGAGGCCTCTTGAGATCCCTGAGATTGAAAGGAAGGGAGACCAGGGAGACGGAAGGGCCACCAAGGGGCCCACTGAAGAGCCAGGCTCCTGCGCCTGTGCCCTGGGAGGGCGAAGCCACCTGCCAACAGTCAGCGGTGTGACCACTGGGACAGACTTGTTGAAACCAGAGGCTTGGCCATTCCGGGTCGTTAGAGGCAGGCTTCCTCTTCATTTTCGGCAGGAGAGAAGCGATGAGAAAGGCGTTGGTCGCTACATTACCTTAGCAGGAGCCCCGTTTCTCACTTATTCATTTTTTTCACATATTCGAAGTGCCTGCTGTGTACTAGGAACTAGAGGTGCTGGATATACAGTCGGGGGCAGCACCGAGCATGCTCTTTGCTCTCAGGGACCTTACACTCACAGGAGGAACCAGCTGTAAACAAGCAGGCAAGCCAGCCGAAGAGGAGATGAACACATAGACGTGGAGAGGAGCGTGGGGGGCATCTGCCTCTCTCGGGCGGTGATGTTTACACTGAGACTCAGCGGCCACCACTGAGGGTGAAGAAATGGCAAGAACTTAGCCACTGCCAAGGCCATGAGGCAGCTCGGTGTTTTTCCGGGAGACAGAAAACAAGTCACCTTAGTTGATGCCTTGTGAACCATTGGGAGCCTGAAGCATATCTTTTACCACCTTCTCAGAAGTCATTTTTCACTCAGACAAACACAGAAACATGTGGTCCATCTGGACAGCTTTAATTCGTAGCCATAAGATGTTTTATATTTCCTGCGGAAAGCCTTCTCACAATCACAGGAAGTCGGGATATATGTCTGGCATCAGTGTATGTTGATCTGTGCCTCATTTTACTTAAGACCGGGCAAGCATCCCAAGAAGAATAGAGTTTCATCATCATCATAAAGTGTTTGATTCATAGATCACATTGAACTGTCAAGTTTTAAAAATTCCTGTCTGTGGCCATGCCCGATCATGTCTGATCTCAGAAGCTGAGCAGGGTCGGGCCTGGTTAGTACTTAGATGGGAGACCACCTAGGAAAACCAGGTACTGTAGGCATTTAAAAAAAAATTCCCTTAGATTTTTCCGAGTCGTCTTTATCAGCTCTTTAATTTTCATGAATCTCCTTTCCAAATGACCGAGGAGACTTTTAAATACCCACAGTTTCTAGTTGATTACATATTATCATAAAAGGCATTTTCATCTTTCACGAGTAACAGTCCAGAACTGGCAGAGCCCTACAGTCATTCTGTTGAAAATGACCTGTAAACACCAGCTGGGTCGTTGGGTCTCTGCACTGAGGACCGGGTCGAGTGTCACGTCATTAGGTCCCTTGGGAGCATAAAGGAAGGGGACCTGTCTTTATTAAGCCTTGGTGTGACGTCGCGTTAAGAGGACAGCTCGAACTCCTCACCGAGGCTTTCTAGGGCTTTCCTTTTTCCAGTCTGCACACACGTCTGATTTCTATTTTAATGTCAGTGTAATCTATCCCCTCTGTTCTTTGCTGGCCACTCAGGACTGATGGCCTCGTGGCAAAAGGCTCTCCCTGTCACTGAGCAGACAGCAAGCCCAGGGTTTTCCGTTGCCGCTGCTATTCGAGGCGTCCTGCTGTGGGCGGGCCCTCTCCGGCTGCGTGGGTACCACATGGGGTGGAGCATCCTTCTTCCTCAGTTTTCTTGCCCTCACCTGCACCCTCTCTGTGACCGGCCTGCCTTGCTTCTGCTTCCAAATTCTCCCTTCTTTTTCCTTCCTTTCTTTTCTTTTTGGAGCGTTCTGTCTTCACCCACCCAGCCTCTGAGACCTGCGTCCTCCTTCTCAGTGGCCCACCCTCCCCGCAGCTCTTCTGTATCTCTCTCATTTGTCACTCTGCTCCTTTTCTTCTCTACCTTGCCACTAATTTTTCTTTTCCCGCGACTCGTCTTCACGACCTGTGTCCCATCTTCTTTGATGCGAATAGCATTTGGCATTGAATTTCGATCAGTTACCCAGCCAACAGCAACAGTTGTCGTTCGTGGATTATTGTAGCCCCACCCTTATCTGTGGCTTCACTTGCCCAATTTCAGTTACTCGTGCTCAAAGGAGGCCCAAAACTATTAAATGGAAAATTTCAGAAACAAATGATACATGTTTGAAATTGCATGCCGTTCCGAGTAGCATGAAGCAATTTTGCTGCATCCCACTCTGTCTCGCCTGGAATGAGTCATCTCTTTGACCAGAGTTGTACATGCTTCACACCCGTTAGTCACTTAGTAGCCGTCTCAATTATCAGAGAGTGAGAGAGAGAGAGAGAGAGAGAGAGACCACATTCACATAACTTTCTACACTACGTTGTTATAGTCGTTCTATTTTATTATTAGTTATTGTTATTAATTTCTTATTGTGCCTCATGTATAAATTAGATTTCCTCATAGGTATGTATGTAAAGGAAAACAGTCTATATGAGGTCTGCAGTTTCGGGCATCCACTGGGGGTCTTGGAACATTTTCCCCATGGAGAAGGGAGATTGCTGTATTTAAACTTCATGTTAGGGACTCTGGACGCTCCCGCTTTGTGTATGCCCAGGACCCCAGTGCCTGGATGGGAATGGGTAGATCGCTAGGTGACAGGTGTGGAAAATGCTCTGTGTTGTTTATCACATGACAGAGTAAGGATCTCTGCGGTTTCGGGGATTGTCTTTGGTGATTCTGGTTCCGGTTCTGACGCTTCCATTCCTGCAGGCCGCGTGAGAGCTGCAGCCTCTCGATGCAAGTTCATGGATCTGAAAGCCAGATCCAGAGTGGGCTAGAAGAGATGTGTGTAAAAGCACCTTGCAAGTTACAAAACACTAGACAAATAAAGCATGACTGTGTTGCCTGCATTAATTAATAGTACAATTAGGAATTTTAAATTGGACCCTTCACATTACAAAGATATGATTTACTTTCAAATCCATTGGCTGAAGGAATGTGTCTCATCATGAAAAGATAAGGGCTGGCATGTTCTTGAGGCCATAGAGAATAATTTGTTGAAAAGCCTTCAGGTTTTGTTTTTGTTTTTTAGGATTAAAGGTAGACAAATAATGGTGGAAAAAAATTTGCACTCCTAACAGCATACGTTTATACAAATCAATGTAATGGTTTCTCTTACACTAATTTTTATTTTTCAAATGCAAAAGTGTAACATTTAATGTTTTACGTATGATATAGCTGAGTCGTAGAACACCCATACCTATGAATGGCCTATCTTAGAGTTTCAAAATTCGTAAACTTGAACTGCTTTTGTGGGAGAGAATGTCCTCACCACATTCATCAAAGACGTTAAGTTCGGTCTTGTTAATCTCCTTCCTCCTGAAAACCTTGGCCCACTCAGAATAGAGAAATGGGTCAAACCCATCTCACTGGAGTGATGCCAAGGACACATCTGTTTCTGTCCTTCGTCAGGCTCTTCTGATTGGCACGTGAGCGAGAAGGGGGCTGAATCCCGTCTCCTCCTGTCCCCACTTAGCCTTCCTTAGCAAGCCCAGGATCACTCGTTTTCCTCAGCGTTGTGCGCCTACCTCTCTGTTCTCCTTCCATCCCTACAGGCCATGCGGGACGCGCTGGCGGACCTTCCGGAATGGTATGGAATAAAAGGCATGCAGGCCCACTGGATCGGGGACTGTGTGGGGTGCCATCTGGACTTCACGTTAAAGGTGACCACGCAGTAGCCTTTCCGGAAGCTGAGTCTCACAAACCCCCTCCCGCGTCGTCAGAACTTCCCGAAGAACCCAGCAGTGCTGGGGCTCCACCGCAGTGCTGTCAGAAAGAGCGCGGGCCACCTAGGTCACTTCAGGTTTTCGAGCAGTCGCATTGTTTTAAAAGACAAAGAAACGGTGACATTAATTTTAAAAGCGATTCAACCCATTATATCCAAAATAATTACCGTTACAAGATGTGATCGATAAAAACATTTATTAAGGAGACAGTTTACACTCTTGTTTTAGTACCAAGGCTTCAAAATCCGCTTAGTTTCCTCTGACAGCGCCAAGCAGCCACATTTCAAATGCTTCATGGCCACGTACTGCCTGGCTGGACAGCGCAGGAATAGAGGGTCTTTCGGGGGTCCACGAGCTCCCTGGAAGCATGTGCAAAATATTCGTGTGGGCATTTTCCTGAGCGGTGGGTCTGAGCGGTGAGAATACAGTGGGTCTCACTGTATTCTCAAAGGGGTTCGTGTCACACAACAGGTTAAAGGTTACGGGAGCTGAAGCTCTCTGTGACACCATTTACCAGACGGACTTACAGCTGTCAAGGACCGTGTGCTTACCCAGGGTCCAGGGGAGGGGAGCTGCTGCCGACACCCTGCTCAGAGGTCGCTACCGAAGACCCACCTGCCCCTCAGACCTTCCTCTTCGTCTCTCCTGACTAGAAAGTCGTTCGAACGCTGTTTCTCACCGGGACGTTCTTTTTCATCCTTCTGATTTCTCCTTTTCTAAGCAAGACTTTTGCATTTAACTCCAAACCCTTCCCTCCCCTATGCCAGTCAAAACCTCCAGGAGGAGGGAGCAGCAGCCAAGAGACAGCTGACGCACCTTCCCAGTCTCTTTCCTCCTGACACCTGCTGCTTGTCACCGAGCTCACGATTCCCATGTCACTTCCTCACAAAAGTGATCCAGCTCCCTCCGACTGCAGGCGTGGGTGCCTCCCTCAGGGAGCGGGTGCTTAGAAAACCTCCGAGAAACAAAGCCTGAAAGGCGCTTTCCGAGAAGGCAGTGAGATCCCGGATGTTCCGGCGGTTAGGGCCACCCCTCCTGGGGCCCTGCGCACTGAGCTGAGTCTGGTCCCACGTCCAAGGCCTTTGCTTCTCCAGCGGGCCGAAGGACGTGGCTCTCGGAGCCACTCGGCTGCCCAACATTTTTATTACGAAAATTTTCATCTCCACTCCTAGACCCACCTGAAAAGGAGCTGTCTTGGGAACACTCAGTCATGCAGGTGCTGGGCCAGGTGGCCCCAGACCTGGCTCTGCAGGTGGCACCTCAGGACGTAGTGTGACCTGTGGTCTCGGCCCTGGGCGCCTCGCACGTCGTTAGCACTCTGAGCTTATGAGTGAATGTGTGAAGGAAGGAGCATGTGTCCTCTCTGTGCCTTCTGTGTCTGTCACATAATTGGCATTCAGTTGATGCCTAATGTTTGCCTCTTCTTTGAAAGGCCTTCAGCCAGCCCTAGGGACCTTCCGTCATGAGCTCGGCTCAGGCTTTCCTTTCTTTCTCCTTCAAAACACTATTAACCTCAATGACCGTTTCCTGGTTAGAAAAGTAGACACCTGTGTTTTCACTGCACCTTAGATTCCGGAGGAAAGTATAGCTCCTTCCTCGAGACAGAAATAATAGACCGTTGACAGTTATTTTTGATTCGTGAGCAAAGAAGCCAGGAAAACGGAACGGCATCTCTCTGAGAGTGCTTTGGCCTCCTTCGGTCTGGGGCACCCGGTCCCCCGGTGGTGGGCACGAGGAGGGCTCGGGAGGAGGCACCGTGGTCCTCTCCTGTCCCGCCCCCTTCTCTGGCGACCATTTCAGGCCCCACATCCGGAAGCCGTCCCCACTGTTGGGGACTGAGGAGATGGGGGAGAAGGGGTGTCGCTGGGGAGCACAGCAGCCCAGAGGGAGCAGTGCAAAATGAAACGACTCTGTTCTTGCCCTGCCAGGTCGATGGGCAAGTCACAGGAGAGAAGCTGACCGGCTACACGGCCACCCCCGAGGCCATCTATGGCACGTCCCACGTCGCCATCACTCCCAGCCACAGACTCCTGCGCGGGCACAGTGCCCTGAAGGAAGCCTTTGAGAAGGCACTCGTCCCTGGCAGAGGTGAGTCAGCAAGTCGAGGCCAGGACGGCGGGGAGTGTGTCTCACGCTGGGACAGCGTTTCCCGGAGCTCACAGTCTTTCGTGTCTGTCATCTTGTGTGATGGGTCCTTCACCCTGGCCTGACTTTTTATGTTTTTTTATTTTGAAACATGAGCTTTGAAAATGTTATCCCCTGGTTTTGCTCTGAGTTCCTGGTTCGCTTCCTGAGTTTCTGGCTGAAAACTCAACTCTTTCTCTTTAAATGTAATCTAAATTTAACACTCTCCTTTCTGATAGAAATAGAATCCGCTTCATTTATGATTCCGTCATCAAATAAAACTCTGCTGACGGACAAGAAGGGAGCCACTGAGAATCAGAGGGAACATTTTCAACACCTTAATTTTATTACTTTAGAGAATCCACACAGTACTCGGAGCAGATGAACAAGAGTCCTGCTCAGTACAGGTCTGTCACGAACAGGTCAGGCTGACCCGGAACTGGCATAGCAAGTATTAACGGCCCATGAGGATGTGGGGCGTGCGTGTGCGTTTGTCACAATTCTGTGGCTGCAAGCAGCAAGCTCCATCTCTGTCCAACCCAGAGGAGAAGGGGACCATATTGGGAGGCCGTGGGAGGTTTGCCGACCAGAGAAGCTGCAGAAGGACCAGTCTGGAGAGGACTTGGACCCGGCAGCCGTAGGAGCTTTGGCGGCAGAAACCATCTCTTAAGTGCCACTGACTGAGGAGCCCGCCCTCGCCTCGGGCTCAGTGCTCAGGGCAC